CGAAGTATAAAAATTATATTGTAAAACTATCCTCCTTCAACTTAATTAAAGTCTTTTGCCACAAACTAAGCAACAAAAGAAATAATTTCACCAAAAAATCCATACTTCAAAATAAAATGTTATCTGATGCCTCGAAGTTTTTGTCTTTTCTTTGCTAGCAAATTCCCAATTTAATGTTTTGCTTGAGAATCAATTTTTTGCTCGCCAGTCAGTTTCTGTTAAACCCTTCATGTCATTTTTGATTAATTTTTGAGTGTTTTTCTCAAAAAATATTTCATCACTCTCTGTTTGTTGCTCAACACTTTCTACATTTGTTTTTCAAAATATAACTCATATTTGACAAAACTAAAGTTTCTAGACGTTTTCTTTTTTTGTTTTTCTACTATCTCAATTCGATTTAGCTAAATTTTATTTTATTTGATGCGCGTAAGAAAATTTCCTCTTGAGGATCTTTGTCAGCTTTTTTAAATCAAACGTTCTAAAAAAAGTATTCTCTACGCATCAAAAAGTTTAACAAAATCAGATTGTTTTTACTTCCATCCATGCATTAAACAGACGTTCTTGATATTGGCAGCCATAATAAATCCAATGTTTTAAGTTGAATTCGCATCAAAAACTTGTTTCAAAACATTGGATTAATTTTTTAACTACATTTTTTCCATCTTTCAGAAATCTTGGGGGTAAAAAGAGCAGCTTTTTGAATTTTTTCAGTTTCGTTTATATTTTCTTAAAATTATGAAAAAAACTCTCTCATGCTCCAACAGAGTCTCAAATCTAAGAAACTCATGCAATGAATGTTTCCAAGTTACCTCTCGTCTTCTTGAAAAATAAACTTACCCATTCAGAAAATTTTCATGCAAAATCTAGACAAATCCAAGACCATTTATTGTCAATAAGCTCTAAACTAGCTGTCTGAGCTGTGTTTCAAGTCCAAGTTGCCCTGGTTTAACAATCTTTTGTAAAAAATCTTTTTTGCTTTGTTCGACACACAAGTTTCACAATTGTTCACTGAAAACCACTTGTCTCCATTTGTTCAACACATTTCTCTACAGGATCTAGACTTTTATCCTGGTTATGGCCAATGCAACGAAGCGTACATTTTAATGGGCTAACCCTATAATGTTCATCTTATCTACAAACTTGTCCCACAAAAAGAGATCACCATCCTCTAATTTTGGACATTTTGATCCCGTTCCTTGACAAATATACACACTCACAGGAAAATCAATAACAGTCCTGCCTTTTTCAAAATCGATACACGATTAATTTAATTGAATTCTCATGATCGTATAAAAAAATTCATCTGCGCATTTATCTCGAATTCACACTTTTTCACCCACCTCACCATTCTTTTTCAGTTTTGACTCAGAGGCACGTTTATTGCTAGCCGATCTTTCAAATTTCTCATTTCGCCTTAGAAAAAGGACTCGATCTTTTACCATTTTTTTGGCGGCAATATGATAAATCATCGCCGTGAGGCAATCCACTTGAAAAACTAAATTGAGACTCTGTTTCAGCTGCCTGGTTCTGTTGTTATTGTTTTGTTCTACCATTGATTTTTGTCCATGCTCAGCAAAAAAGGCAAGATACCCAATCTCTTATTTGAATTTCCTTGCATTGTCTTCACTTTCTCGTCCGCTGCCTGAATTTTTTCTGCTTTTTCATCAATTTTGTCTGATGACATTAAGAACAAACTCAATTTCCGCATGTCAAAAGCATGCGTTTTTTCATTGAATTGTCTCTCAACATCAAAATTCACAAGAACTTTTTATCAAATTGTCTAAATTTTCCTCATCTCTAATAATCTTTGCAATAGTAGACCAAGTTTCAAAATGTTTCGGAAGCTCTTTCAGAAAATTTGTTTATTTTTGTCGTGTTTTTTCACTTGCTCTAATTTTTACGGTTTCGCCTAAGAGAGAGAGAGAGAGAGAGAGAGAGAGAGATAGAAAGAAAGAGAGAGAAAGAGAGAGAGAGGGAGAGAAAAAGAGACTCGAATACGCTGTTTCCTAGGTTCAGTGATCAAGTTTTGAAATCTGAGTCTTTCAGAAATCTTAAACCTCTTCCTTTTTGCTACCATTGCCCTTATAAGGTACGAAAAACAAAATTGCTCAGATGAGCAACGTTTTTTTGAGAAAAACCTTCTTCCTCTATCAATGCATGTTTTAAGCAATTATTTTATTCGGTCTTACAATTTGCATAAAATTTCATTTTCC